CACACACACACACACACACACACACACACACACACACACACACACACCCCGCCCAGAGATGAGGCTGGCCTCAAACTGAGAAATCTGTCTACCTCTGCCTGGGATTAAAGGTGTGTGCCTCCACGCCTTACGGAATTGTCCAGGGGAAATTCTGACAAAATGGATGGGCAGATGAGAACTCCGGAAGCTGACAGAGATGCTGACCTCATAGTACAGTCCTAGCATTCCTCATTTCTAGTAGACGCACAGGCCACACTTCCTGCCCTTGGCTGAGCGTGAACACTGAGTGTCTCACACTGTTCCTTGGCCACATCTGGAGGCTGACTTACCAATGGTGCATGTCGGGAAAGTTTGACAGCAGCGGTCCGAGGGTTGTGGGGAACCCCCGAGGGCACAGGCTGGGACTCACCTTCTTCAGTATCTCTGTGTTCAGTAGCATGTACAGGTCAATGGCGCGGCTCTCCTCTTTAGGGACAGCACTAAGGTTGCAGTACAGTGTTAGGCAGAAACTCCCTGGTTTTTCACAGTCCTGTGGAGAAATTTTCCAGATGAAGTTCAGACAATCCAAAGCTCCAGACAGATCAGAGTATCAGTTATGGCCAATGAGGGGATTCCAGGGTAAACTGAGCAAGAGGAATCAGTGGAGCCCAGGGAGGGGTTAATGGTCAACCCCATACCCAGCTTGCCTGGGGTCCAGAATTCTATCCGAAGCTCCAAAACACAGAGTGGAGTAGGCGTTAGGCGTGTCCAGCCCCTGAGTGTATCCCTCCCATCAATTCATTTAGAAAAGTGACTTTTAAACAAATAGGATTATACAGGGAGGGGTTGTATAACCAGAGCTATTCCTCTGATTTCTTCTGCTTAAAACTATATCACACAATTTCATTACTGTCATTTAATATATACATTGAATTGCTATGAAGAGTAGTTTTAAAATTTAAGAAAACAAACTATAACATACCTCTCCCCCTACCAAATCCCCAAACCAAAAAAGATGTAATTATGCTTTTCCACCACCAGGGGGCAATAGAAGGATTCTGGCCTGTTGGTTCTGTTTTCTTGTGTTTGGGGGCGTCCACAAGTAGACGCAAGTGGGTTCCATGGTTAATCCTGCCTAAAAGTTGCATTTCATGAGGATAATCAATCCTTCTCAAAAGGAGACATCTACATATCCTGATGTACTTTTACAGGTTTTAAACAAGAGTGCTTTCCAACTATGGTTAACTCTCCGCGTGCCCGCAGCGGGTACACACCATGATCCTGTTTCCAGTGGGGGAGGAGGGGCTTAGAGAACGAAGAAGCTGTATAGCTCCTTCTCAGAGAGACACACAGGCCACCAAGGGAACGTTTATTCCCAATCAAAAAGGAGAAGTTTTCCTATTGTATTTTGAAGCATATCTTTATAGAAGAAGCATATGTGTGCACGTATGTGCATACCTGTGTGAAGCCTCTCTGGCAGGACACGTTTTCAGCCTGAGCTGGAGTTGTGTACAGCACACAGCTGGCTGTCATTTTAGCTAAGTGTCCCCAGGGCCTTTAAAAAGATGGGCCATCCTTACCGTGTGTGCCAACGGTCAGCTTGACAGAATCCAGTTCCCAGGAAAACCGTCTCAGTGAGGGATTGTCTAGATCAGGGTAGCCTGGGGCGTGGGGGTGGGCTATCCCCATCCTACTGATGGGTGGGAAGTCCTGCCCGCTGCGGGAGGCACCGCTCCCAGGCAGGGGTCCTGAACTGCCTGCGAGTGGAGAAAGGGAACTGAGCCTGAGCAGAAGTGTGTCAGTTCTTTCCTCTGTTTCCCTGCTGTGGATGCAAAGTGAGTTCGGTGTCTCCTGGTTTCTACAAGGTGATGCACTGTACCCTGGGAACTGTGGGCAGAAGTTAACCCCCTTTTTCCTAAATTTTCATGCTGGGGCATAGCGTCATAGCAAAAAGAAACAAAACTGAGATGGCATGCAAGTGAAAAAAAAAATCCAGACCTCGAAAAGCAAGCAGTTGAGCTTTCAAGGGGGGGAGGTGTATCAAATGTGTGTGGGGTGTGCAGCCGAAGAAATGTGCTCAGGATGCAGGAAAGGGGGCTTTGGGAAGTACTCGGGAGGCAAAACATAGGACAAAGAACAGATTGTAAGTGTGCATCTTGATATTCGTATGTGTGTTGTCACCCGGAGGTCACACCTGGTCACGCTCTGGAATGTTTTGTCACCTTTACTATTTCTGAACTTCTTAAACACAGAACTTTCCAGAGTGCTCCTTCATCCTTCTTTAATTCAGTGTAGTTTCTGTGAGACTTACTGCTGTCACATAGTGTATGGAACATTAGAAGTCATATTTCATTTTTCGTAGTTCTGTAATATTCCCAAGTATGGATAGATTCCATTAACTGTTTGCTCATTACACATGAACACATGTATTGATTCGTGTGTTGACACAGGAATGTTCTGATTTTGGCTGCTATAAAAGCGCTCCAATCATTCTTGTGTCTTTTAACACCACATGTATTCACGTCTTGGGGGTAGACCGAGAAATGGTGCATTTTTCTAGGTGGCAGAACACAAATGTGTTTAGTTTCAATAGGAATTGCCAGGAGGTTTCCCCAGTGTATTGGTAAGAATGAAAGCACTTCTGTAGATTTCTTCTAGGTGGAGAAATCATTTATTTACTTCCTGCCTGGTGGATTTATAAAGGTTTTCTGTTTGTCAGGCAATGGAATTTGGGATATAAATTTAGATAGAAACCCTGGGCTGAGAAAAAAAAAAAGTGGGATTTGACCCGAGCCCTTGTGTCTTTCTAAGTCCACTGATGAGAAGCAGGTTTGAGAAATGAGAAACAGCAAGCCGAAGACTGGCCGGCCTCTCCCACGTGCCTTCCCGTGAGGGCCACCCTCATGGTCCCAGGCACTGAGCCACTTCTCACCAACACTTTTCTTCCAGACTTGGTGAAAAAAGCAAAAATGGTGTGGAAGATATTTTCTTGGTCTTGAGGGATGACGCAGGGGGTCGGGTTCCTCTGGAAAGAGCAGTTACCCTTCTCTTGGCTCACCTGGAAATGAAGAGACCAGTTAGAGCCGGCAGTCTACAAACAGATATGGAAGCATGGGGCACAAATGCTTCCTGCGACCATTCTCTGGAAGACAAGAGGGGTCAAAGGGTGTTTTGTTTTGTGAGATTCTTGACTACGCTTCTCAGTCTGGCCTTGAACTCCTGGGCTCAAGATATCCTCCTGCATCAGCCTGCCTCGTACAGCTGACCACAGGCTGAGCACCACAGCTCTGGCTGAGAAGTGCTTAAGTTATGACAGGAAATGTGTCCATTAAGTCTCATGACATGCAAATGAGATTTGAGGAACAGCTCTAACCTTCTGCTTCCTGATTTCCAAGCTCATTTACATAATTCCTCTCAGATAGGCCTTTTTTGAGGCAAAACGAAATTCAAGTTACTTGTTGACAGAGCCCACTGTTATAGATTTCTAGAGTGTTCCACGGGGCCACCAGGATGCTGTGAAACCCCTCAGGATCTGTTCTTGAGAGGGAAAGAGTAGAAGAAGGATTGCTCTGGTCCTCACTGCTGCTCCAGCTGGAGAGACATGGCAGATACCTGAGGTTTGGACACGTGGGCTCTTGTCCACTTCTTTCACTCTCAAGTGTTTGGGATACCTCTTCCCCGGCTTGTCCCTTGAGTGGACAAGACCATCAGGCCCAGAGAAGACAGTTCTATGCATAGTTGTTTCGTGAATACCTCCTCGGCCTGTCCATCATGTCACACATCTGCTCTGTACCTAGAAAGCCTCTGAGACTTGTAGCCTTGTAGGACAGACACCCTGATTCTCACCGAAATCAAAGGAAGGCGAAGAGTTCCTCAGTGCCCCAAAACTGATACTTTGGGGTTCCAGGCAGGGGGAGGAACCTGATTGCCAATACATTCTAGCTGGTTTCCCATGAGCGCCCCCAGTGTGAGAATAGGGTACTAACATTGGCCTCAGGTGCCAATGGGCAGGGGGTCTGGAAGCAGCAGCAAAGAGGGTAGAAAATGGCCCGGTCTGTGGTCAACCCGAGGGACAGAGTCACATCTCAGGCTAACTTCTTTTTCCCCAGGGCATCTCTGGGGTGGTTTGTGAACGGGGAGTGATGGTCAGGCGATTTGCTGCCTTGTGACAGCCTGGCCCCAGTGGAATGTAGGACAGGAAGCAGAAACTGAAGTCTGCCTTGGATGAAAATCTTGGCCATGGCACGCCTGAATGTGGTTATGCGGGAATCGTTTTCATCAGGAAATAACCCGCGTTTCTGAATGGCTCAGGGTGGTCTTATTTCAGCAGGAGACTGAAGGCTCCTGGGGTCTCCTCTGGGTCTGATCTGGTGCAGTTAAATCTGTCACTCAGTCCCTGGGCAGGGACACTGCAGGGAGGCACCCCTCTGACAGGGCGGCAGGTCACAGTCACGAGAGCAGCTCTGAGCGTCTGTCACACTGTAACATTTGGTTCACAACGGTCCTGTGGGACAGGACCATGTCAGCTGCCATTTTGGAGATGGAGATCTGGGAAGATAAGAGCAGGGCCGACTAGCGGAGATGTGCTTGAGAGCGGGCCACGAACCACATCCACACCCCAGCACAGGTGCAGGGCTGCGGCTGGACTGTGATGGGAGTCAGAGAGGAGGGCAGCCATTCATCCTCTTTTTTACCCAGAATTCTTCACGGTGACTCAGTTTGCCACTCCTGTCCCCATCCGCCCCCCAACAAAAAGCTGACTCCTGGCCAGCCCCTGGGAGGTGTGAGTGCCTGCAGGCTGGGAGGCCAGGCTGCTCTGGGACTGGAAGGCGAACAGAGCACCCTGGAATGTTGTTTTTGGAAGGCAGTTCCCAGATCAGGCAGTCCTTGGCCTTGGCCAACAGATAAGGGCCTTAGGTTTGGTGACTTATCCAAGGTCACGGGGTTGGCTGTTAGCAGCACCCTGAATGCAGAGAGCAGATCCCATCCCACAAGTATTCTTATCCCGTTCCCTTCCCCTTCCACATCTCTAGGCCCCCAGCCCCCAAAGCGTTTACATCTGAGAACAGTTCTTATCTTCCTGGACTGGCTTACGGTCTCCAGTACCATCCCTGTCTGGTGTTTGGCTTCCTTCACGCATCTCTAAGGCTGGGCAGACCTTACTGTGTGTATACAGCACACCACTCCCGCCTCTGCTGAGGTGCACAGGCACCTGCGCACGCAGAAACCAGAGGCCAGCCTGAGTGTCATCCCCAGGAATCTCCCTTCTCAGTCTCAGTGGGCTGGAATTTAGCAATTAGGCTAGATGGCCTGGCTGGGACCCCAAAGGATCCTCCTGTCGACATCTTCCCAGCACCAGGATTACAAACATGAGCCCCCACTCCCGGCCTTTTATGTAGGTGCTGGGGACTGAACTCAGGTTTTCAAGCTTGTAAGGGTGAGCACTTTAACTCAACCCCCACATACAGTTTCCTTTTTCTTTTCTTTTCTTTTCTTTTCCTTTTCTTTCCTTTCCTTTTCTTTTCTTTTCTTCTTTTCTCTTCTCTTCTTTCTTTTCTTTTTATTTATTTTTGTTTTTTTTTTTGGATTTTTTGAGACAGGGTTTTTCTCTGTGTAGCCCTGGCTGTTCTGAAACTCACTCTCTGGACCAGGCTGGCCTCGAACTCAAAGATCTGTGCTTCTGGGTGCTGGGATTAAAGGTGTGTGCCACCATCCCTCATCCCTAGAATTAGCACAATATCCTACATGGCCCGGAGCACCCCATGCTCCCAGGGTCACAAGTACAGCATCTTCTATAGAGCATGGACACCAATGCTTTAGTAAAGATCCACTTGTGTGTGTGTGTGTGTGTGTGTGTATGTGTGTGTGTGTGTGTGTGTGTGGAGTGAGGCATGCATGCCATGGTCTGGGATTCAAAGTCAGGTTACCAGGCTTAGCAGCCAGCACCTCTACTCAAGAGCCATCTTCTCAGCCAGGGATCACCTCCTCTTCCATCCTGCAGATTATTGGGACTCCATCCCCACAGGATGGTTAGTTTAGTCAAAGGAACATAAGTTAGGGTCCATTTAAGAAGAGAGAACTTCAGTTGAATAAAAAATACCTCTCTCAGATCAGCCTTGGGCAAGCCCATCGGGACTTTTCTTGATTAACGGTTGGGGGCTCAGACCACTGTGCTCAGGGCTATCTTTGGGCTGAAGATGGCTCTGGATACTATAAGAAAGCAGACTGAGCAAGCCCCGGAGAGCAAGCCAGTAACAGGACTCCCCCATGGCCTCTGCATCAGTTCCTGCTTCCAGGTTCCTGTCCTGATTTGAGCGCCTGCCCTGGCTTCCCTGCACAGTGGACTGTAAGCTGAACAAACGCTTTCCTCCCCAGGCTGCTTTAAGCTGTAAGTCAAATAAACCCTTTCCTCCCCAAACTGCTTTTGGTTTGCTTTTATCAAAGCAAAATAGAGCTAATGAGAACACACCAAACTTGGCTTTAGTCATCTTCTTTGCTCAAAATCCTGGAGAAATAGAGCTTTCTTGCCACAACACATCAAGCACCACTCTGCTTGTGGTCTTAGGCTGGCTGAGGGCCCTGTGGCCTCTGCCCCATGACCACCTCTGCCCACTCACTCACATACTTTCCCAGACTGCTGGAGTCCAAAAGCTTCCCACGACAGGGCTGCTCCTCACAGGACCCCTGGGAGCGGAGGGAGGTCTGCGGCTGTTGGAATTTGTACAAAAGAACTTACAAGGGACAGAGGACACGGGACACATTGCTGACCCTGGATTCTGCCAAGGCGGTTATTGAGGGTTTTCTGTTATCTGCCCCCTGCAAGCCTGACCCCGAAGAAAACACTGTGTGACCTCAAACCAAGAGACGGCAGTGATGCAGGAGAATGTGAAGAGCCCGAGAGTCTGAGAGGACCGGACAGCACATGGTGGGAGAGTCCCCTGGGTGAGTGGCCGGCGTCAGACGCTGGCATCCGTCTGGTCTAAGTGGTCTCACTTCACGAAGCTTGGGGCTTGAAGCCTGAATCGAGGCTCACGTCCTGGTGATGGCATTGCCTTTGGACATCACCAGCCTCTGTCCTCAGGTGAAAGAGGCATGACTCTAGGCTGCGGTCAGAGGAACCAGGATGTTTCCACGAGTGAAGCTCGGGATCACAGTGTCTATTATGGACCTGGAGAAGCTGCTTGACCTTGAACTGCTATAGCCGTCCCGCTCCAGCGGCTAGGGTTACTGGTATATAGCACCACGCCGCGTTTGTTTTCCTAGTTTCATCCCCCAAGCCCATTTTCCCGGGAGCCAGGTGTAATTGTTCCTGGGCCCACTCTATGTAGAGTCCAGATGAGAAAGATGATCCCAGCTCATATGAGGCACTATTCTAACAGGTTGGATGCACACTGGATCCTTGTTTGTGCGGGAAGTAATGTCATCAGTGTGGAGACCATATGTCTGCTAATGGGGGCTTAAAATGATTTAATTGATATACATATAACTACCTATTTGTGAGCATGGCATGAGTTTTCTTTTTAAAGATTAATTCTCTCTGTGTGTGTGTATGTGAGAGAGAGAGGGAGAGAGAGGTTACGAGGCTAGAAGAGGGCATTGTGCCCTGGAGTTGGAGTTATAGGCAGTTGTGAGCCACCCAATCTGTATGCAGGGACAAACTCGCCCTCCTGCAAAAGCAGCAAATGCTCCTAAAGGCTACCTATCCAGGAGCAGCCCACCCTGCTGAGTTTTCGGAATGTAATTACAATGTGTAAGGACACTGGCGAGTCACTGGAGTACGCGGTGCCTTGGATGTTTGTCCTCTGTGCTGGGGAAATCCAGCTTCTCTGTTGGCTGTAGCTTCGCCCCTCACCCTTATTAAGCTACTTCTTCCCCCATCCCTTTTCTCAGCCATCCCAGGCTGTGGTCACTGTCTCCCCCACTTCTGTCAGGTGACCGTTTCCAGTTCCCACCTGTTAAGAACATGTGCATTTTTTTGTCCTGCGTCTGGTTCACTTCTAAGGTAATATCCTTCAGTTTCATCCCTGTTGCCACAAATGACAGGATGTCATTTTTGTT